TTCCCGAATTGAAAGTGTAGGTAAACTCGAAAAAAGTTTACGACAAAACGGCAAAGAAATTATAGAGATGTTTTTAATATTGAAATAATATTAAAATAATATTAAAATCATTATAATATTATAATATAATATATATTATAATATATATAAAATATATATTATAATATATATATAATATATATTAAAAGAATCTCTACCTAAAATAAAATTCTTAATTAATCTCTTTCTCATATAATTAATTTAGAGATATTCTGTACATCTCTAGTCTGTTATATCGTCTCGTATAAATAGGGGTAAAATAATAATGCTTGCATATTTAGAACAAAATAAATTTGAATGAATAAATATTACATAATTTTGTTAGAAATTGTTTATACGAAATTAAATTGATACTGTTAATAATTTAATATTTTTCATCTCTTGATGAGAGAAGTTATATTTTATGTTAGTATACAATGTTCATAATTTAATGAATTAAAAAGCACACAATTATTCAGAAGATAATTCAAAAATTTGTTTTACATTTCAATCAGATTTTGTTGCAAGCCATATCACACTCTACGGAATATTTTGGGATTTTTCTCATTCAGAATCAATGAGAATCAGAAAATATTATAAAGACACATTTTTATCGTCTAACTGTGATGTAATATCTTGGTCGACACGCCTGCACTTTTCATAATTAAACCGCGGAAATCGTACATCGTGTATCTTTCAATGATGCTTCAATATCCGTCGCAACATTTCCGCAATAATGTTCAGTAGCAGTCAGATGAAAAACTTACCACAATTGCGGTAATACACATGAAACGAAAGTCGCATACGATGCCTGCGAGCGAAGGTCGGATTTTCATCGGAGCAATCCGATGACAAAAGGAAAGTCTCGCCGGATTGTCTCTCATTATTTCCTCGCAGAGTATCTAGAACGTTGGGTCAAGGGTTGCGCCAGCCCGAGGTGATGGCGGAATTAGGGTTGCACATGCCAGTTCTTGTCGGAGATAGCGTCGTCGATGAGAGAGGGATCAACGGTGCGGGAGAAGGAAGAGAGATGCAAGAATCTGATCTGTGATCAGCTGAAAGAGAGAAGGGGGAAAAGCGCTCGCCCTCGTTTGGCTCCCTTCGCATAGCCCTTCCGGATATTAAATATTAATCCCGCGAAATTACTAGAGCGTCGGCAATCTTACGTTACTGCGCCGTTTCTCTTTCGTTGCCCGTAATCTAGAGCTCGACGATTCTGTCATCGAAACGCGCCTTGTATAGGATATGTGCCATCGTTTCCGCTACGACAAAATTCAATCTTGACAGACGAAAAATGAATTGCGAAATATCTCTAGGTATATCTTTCGGTGAATTATCTCTTTTGTTGCATCTTTTACAAATGTTTCGTAATTTCTGTTAGGAATATTTAGAGCGGAAATAACGTTACTCACAAATTATGCTGATTTACTGTACCGTGATCCAAGATAATTAATCATTTTCTCAAATAAATATGTCGTTATAATATAATAATTTCTCTTAATTAAATTGCTAATGTAATTTTGATGGATTTCTCGGTTACCTCGTTTCGTGCCAAATATCAGTAGCAATAAGCGCGAGTACAATACATTCACGTCGCAATCCATATACAGAATATTATCTCAAGTCAACGAACGATATCGTTATGTCATCATCGCGCTAACGTCTCTACGCGTTCAGAATCGGCGAGTGTTCTCGTGAATTTCAATCTTCGTTCCGTGTCACATCCTCCGCACGCGTTAAAATAACAAAATAAAATTACTTCGAGAGAATAATAATTTCTGTCCTCTCTCTCTCTCTTTCTCTTTGTTCGATTCAATCCAAACAGTGCAGCTTGCGCTCTCGTTTCCGAGAGATTATTCGCGAAAGAAACTTTCTGCGCTTCCTACGCGTTCTCCCTCCATCCTGTCGCGATGGATAGGATTTACGTAACACAAAGCTATGTAACATTCAACCGATTGTCAGATTCCTCAGCAGTCTGTCTCTAATTGGTTCCCGCCGATGGAAGCCTCGCGCGACTCTCGACGCACACATGCTCGCGGAATTTATCCACCCTTATTATTATCCTGCGCCACGCGGTCGGCTATTATTGCGGCGCGAGGAGATACGCGCCAATGAGAATCCCCGGAGATGATGGGGAGGGATATGGTCCACGTAGCGAAGCACAGGGAATAATCGCCCGCGGGAGAAGAGGCTGCGCGAAGGCGCGCAAGCGAGCGCGCGCACGTTGATTGTCTGCGCTCGCATAATCGTTGTATGCGCAAATGGAATATTATTGCACGCGGAAGAGGGAACGGGGGACCGGATATGCGAACGTGCGTGCGTACGCTGGCTTAGAACTGAACAGCCTTACGTTGCGGTAAACTCAGAGACGGAAACTTCATTTCGAGTTAATACGGAATCGAGTTAGCGAGAGATTGTAGCTTGTCAACTGTGCGGCCTGAATAATCCAAGTTTTCTGCTAAATGAAAATATTGTTTTCAGCACCGCAGGCGCTTTGGAAATATTATTATTAAAAGAAATAATATTTGTGTGATAAAAGTGTTGAGATAAAAAGTGTAAGAAGTTTGTGATTTTAAAAAATTATAAAAAAAAATGGCGATTACATGTATACTGTCTTCATTTTCATTTCATATTCTTTAATAGAATATATTTTTATATTTAATATAACATGTTTTTATTTTTTAATTACATGAAATATATTTTATATATTTTTTATAATTAAAATAATCAATATAAGATACGCCAGTTGCATAACTATTATTAAAGCGATCGATCACTTGAAAGTAATATTAGATTAGATAGAAACAGATAGAAGTGTCCAATCGCTAAAAATGGATTCAAAGTTTATCATTTAATAAATATTTTTGTCGCTAATGTTACAATATAAATTAGCCCAGCAGATATGATTCATCTCCTTTCATTAAGTATTAACATTTATTAACACGAGACTTATTAACATTTATAATTTATGACTAATTAAACAGGAAATGTCTCTCTTTCTGATTAAATATTTTTGTATTGGATAATTATATCACTTAGTGCACTATAATTAATTTTTTCTCGTGACTGAAAAAAAATCTGCTTAAATTAACTGTATTGGAAAGAGACTTTGGCGTCGGATGATACTTTATAGTCTGCGTTTTAAATAGATTTATGTATTATTAAAAAAGAAATTTCAAATAAGATTGTAAATAGTAAAATTTCACATTTGTTCATTTAAAAAAATTAACAATAAATATTATAAATAAACAATTAAAACTTTATCTAAAATAAATTTATGTATATAATTGTATATCATTCTAGACCTAGATATATATATGTATTATTTAAAATAACTGTAATATATGTACATATATGTATATCTCATGAAATGAACATATATGTCGCGTCGTAAAAGTACCTCAGCGATATTTTTTTTAAATTTGCAATTTTCAACTCACATGCTAATCCATACTGTTGGCTATTTAAGAGATAATATATTTTCCGCGTAAATCCATACGCCGAGATTAAATCCAAACGTTGCCTTTCAAAAACAAAGAATCTCTTTCTGTATCATGATTAAACGAACGTATCGATTCATCTTTGCGATAATACTAATGAATGTAAAACAGAAAAAACGTGTTTGACTTACGGAAGAATTTTGTTTTGCCTTGGATATGTTCCTTCGAGATTTTACATATAAATTGCGTTATTAATATGAACATTAATGAACGCCTTTGATACTTTCGAGTATATAAACCGATACGTGATATGGAAACGAGGAACGCAAAAAAGTATACCAAGGAAGGTAAAAAATATTCAAGCCTGCAGACTTTATATTTATTTATCTTTATATCTATTTATATATAAACTAATAAAGATTGAGTGTGAAGCATCGTTTAGAATACGAAAAATATATGATGTAATCAAGCTAATTAATTAATTTCAGTTTATATTATATTATATTCTTATCTTAACTTAATCTCATTAAATATAAAATAGAAATTTCAGAGAATCTGTGACTTACAATATTTAATTTTAATGAGACATGATTTGATCAACTTGGGAACGTTCCTTTTAAATGAGATAATATATCTTTTTTAAATAAGATAACATAAAAAACCGATTATACATAATTAAAGCGTGAAATTTTCAGCGCTATTTCCATACAAGTTAATTAATTTTCTAGTAGTCTCAATGATTATCTGGTTAGTCTACTCGAGAATAATGTTTCGTATTTACCTGTGTCCTGTTTGTGTTGGCGCAACATCGCGATGTCAGTCGTTGCAAACGGCAAGCAACAATTTCCATCCTTCGAGTTCAATAACTCGTTATCGGCTAGCTGCGAATGGAAATAATTCCGCTCCGAAATCGTCGTCGTGCGTAAAAGAGAAAGAGAAACAGAGAAAGTGAGATCCGTTCTATTTTTTTCCCGAGCTTCGACAAGAAAATCGAGTTTCGCGAAATCGAGTGCTTACAAATTCAGACCTTAACGAACGAAAACTGTCAACAGCAGTCTGCGTTGAAATTATTTTTTCTTCGTGATTTGTTCACCGATAGACAAATGGACTCTCTCGGATTATTGCATATTATATTTTCCGACTGTTATTTTGCTTTCTCTTATCTGATATCTTTTTTACTTCTTCCTTAATAATCCTATTATTAGAAGCTTGAGGCTTTTTTATTCGTAATCGCGGTTGAAAGAGTTTTGAGCGTGTGTAATCGATATTTTTTTAATGAAAAATTTGCGACATCTCTTAAGACCACCAATCAGATCAATTTCATCTGATAATTTTACTTTTTTTTTATACATGATATAAAATACCGATACGCGTGATTATATTTTCACGTTTAAAATTTAATCAAAATATTATTTTACAAACTTTTTGTTAAGAAAATCTAATCGATTGAATTATAATATAATTAATATTAATATCAATTTCATTAAAAGGTTGATTTACAGAAGAATAATTAAAATTTAGAGAGTTGTTGATAAATGCGTATTCGCGACCAGCATATTACTGCAATTTAATTCTTTTGAAAGATATGCGTATATGCAATTCAATACATCGGCAAAGAGTTGTGTATCAACTGCAGGACCGCAAAAACGCGGCGATTAATTTTGCTCGCAATTTATCTTGGCGAGGCTCGAACCTCTGTTCAGCTTCCGTGCCGTACTCTTTACAGATCGTTAGCATATCTTCCTTCGCTCAAGGACGGAATATCAAAGTTATACCGGCTCGCCGCCACCACCACCCGGCGAGATAGCCGCCCTTTTCTTTCCTCCCTCTTCGCGCGCGAGCTACCGTAAATTGTGTTCCTACGGCAATTCAGTCGTGAATCTTCCAGTCGAACGGGCCGCTGCCGTTTCCAATTACAGGATGGGCTTTGATTCGTTGAGGCTGCCAGATATAACCGGGGAATCAGGATCAATATTGAGATTCTTTTGAGACGCGGACACGGCACTCTGAGAGAAATTTTGGTGGCGAACCGGGCGAACCTTATGGTCGCAAAGCGACGGATCTGGAAGGAAGATTGCATCCCGTATCTAATAACTCAAGAAAAACAGTATATGGATGCAAGCTTGTCTTGCGAATGTCTGAAACACGTATGTGACTCGCAGCTATACAAAAGCAAAGGCACACGCATTCGCGAACGTTTCGAGCAAGTCTGACAAGTCGAGAACCAATCGTCAGAATTAAAGTCTGGAAATAAGTTTACAGCTACACATTCGCGCAGCGGTGAACTTTCACAAGATTTCCACGAGCTGATTCCAGCTGATTGGAAATTAAATCAAAACTTGAATTTAATTTATCTAGAAAACGTGCTTAATTTGTATAAAAAAACTTTGAAAAAATATTTTTTCTACACATCTAATAATTATCAATTTTAATTGCGACACAGCCGCAAGCTATATCTTCAAATATTAAACTAATTATAAGAAAAAAAAGTAGACAAGAAATCGAGAACCTGAAAATTATGCTTAGAATGTATAATTAATAATTAATAGAAAACATACACACACACACACTTATTCTGATTTGAATAAAATAATATATTATTTCACATTTCTTGCTATGTATAAAAAAAGATTACTTCCTTGAAAAATTAAATTAAAAATTATTTTATGATATTTTATATTTTGCATAAATATAAGTGTGTTATAGACATTTTTATATTTTCTTAATATATTAACATAATATATTAATCTCCTAAAAAATATACTATTATATGATTAATATGATATATTAATCTTAAAAATCGTAAATTAAGTGTCGCTCTTGAATCGAGGCGATTTCGAGAAGTATGCCTGCGGGCAGTGGCTTGATGGGTCGCTGATGATGCCTATCTGCATCATTGAGCGACGAAGCCTATATCGGCCATAGAGGCAACCGAGGCTACCAGAGATGAAGCTTATCAGCGTGATGCCGATGACCACCATGCTAAGACGCTTAACAATGAAGAGCGTACGATTGAGTGCATACGATATTGCATGACATTGTCCCAGGCTTCTTCCACGTACCGTTTTTAACCCATGAGTCCAGCCACACATCTCCAATTACCGTCGTCCTCTTTCAGATTGTAGTCTAGAATGAATATAAAACCTGCGACAGAAACTTTGGCGAGACACAAGGAACGAGCGACTATCACGAAAATTCTCGGAGTTCATCGTCCAAGGACCGATAGACAGGGACAAACAAAGAAGTGGCTTTCATATTTTAAGAGTGTTTCTAGGAGAATCAATTTCTCATTCCGACGTGCGCGAAAGTATTAACTAGTTGGTATTTCGATAAAAAGATAGAACTTTTAGAAATATCGCAATTTTGCTCCTCGTCTCTCGATTAGGTTCGTTCGGCGAATGTTTACGAGAAACTCCAGGTGAATTTCCGCTCGCCGATGGATCGTGATTTTCTCAAATAGGACTCGTTGATCGAACCAAATGGAACGACCTGTTATTTTTCGCGCTCGTGTGTCTTCGCTGATTCGACTGAAATTCGGTCATCGCTGTCGATGTATCTTATGTAACTTTTGCACGACATTACAATGTGTTCTGCAACGTGTTTCTAAACAGGATTGTAGTGGATATATCGAGTTATCCAGTTAGAATCGAACGGAATATGGAAATACGGAAACCGCATATATCGTATAATCGACTGCAATCGCGGTTGTGCGTCGTTAATCATCATTAATAGTAAGGGGATTTATCCAGAGTTATTTAGTCGAAATATTGAAATAATAATGACAACATTGAAATTGAATGCGGGATAGATGTATCGCGCGAATTGAAATCGTGACGTGCCGTTAATTAATGTCGATGTAATAATAATGTGTGTCTGCAAAGCTCATTTTGGCATAGATTAGTACAGGATGGCTAGATGGGTTATTATTTAAGTAAATGTATTTAGATGTTCGCTTAAAAGTGAGATTAATTAATTTTCATCGATAACATGTGTACCAAAATTGTTAAATTGCATAAACAATCTATGTGCAATAATATCGTGATTTTTATCCATATTTAATACTAACAAAAATATTTTAATATAATATTTTTATGCAGAATTTTGAACCATTTTTTTAGAAAAAATTTACATCAATTTAAAATAAAATTTGGACAAGAAATTAGTTATTTTTTGATAAATTACGTAAAATTTTTTCAAACTTTGTATGCATGTTCTTCATAAAATTTTATGTAAATACATGTATATGTATGTAAAATAAGAAAATTTTAAAAATTCTCTATTTTTTATTTTACTTTATATCAAATAATTATTTAATTTCTCTTTTTATTAAGAATCTATAAATTATTTTGCTTCTTATTCCAGTCATATCTTCTGCACTGCGAAATTATTCTCTATTAAAATACATGTATGTCCTGACAATCATAATACTATTAAAACAGAAAATGACGTGCCTCTGGACTGCAATCGGGTATGTCATTAATTAATATTGATGTAATAGTGATCTACGTGCGGTTCGTTTGGTAATACACATATACACACGCATATAAACGCAACACATACATATATATATACAGCATGGCAATTAGACTGACTTTGTTACATTACTATACACGTAATGCGACTCTATGCCGTCGTACTTACTCAGGATGACTAATCTGCACTCAGAGTAGCTGCTGTTGGTGGTATATCGATGGCTTATGTCATTGTAAATTCCATATCCGTCGGGGCGAATCCACCGGCAGTAATGAACTGTTCTGTCCAGCATACGCGGAAGGATGTGGCAAGACAGAACTGGATCGTTTCGTGCGCTGACGGCTATTTCCGTCTGCTCGGCCATGAGGTAGGTTTCTGAAAAGCCGTTTATACCGTGCGTCTCATTGGAAGGAAATGTCTAATGACGTGTCGTCGACATGTAATATCGTTTCTCTCTCAAGTCGGAAGTGTAGAATGAATAAAGGAAATTGTAACATTTTCATCAATTTTTATCTTAGCGTAAATTATATTTGTCTATTCTTATGTGACATGCAAATTCAAATTGCAATTTCAAATTCGTTACAGATCAAAATCGTACATCAGAGGAAATATTAAAATTTAGAAAATTTTCAATATATTTTTAAGTCGTGAAAAAAATGCATATGCAATTACGCGCAATATTATTTTTTCTGTCGTCTCATAGACATACGATATGTATTTCTAAATGAAATATTCCTAAATCGATACTGTTTATCTTAATTTAAATATAAATAAAATTTAATATATCCAATAATACGCGAGAGCATTGTTATATTTTTTGTGTTAGTGAAAAAACAGATAAAATAATATTTATTCTTTCGATATATACCGATATATACTTTTATTTACATAATATTTGTTCGATAAGATAAAAATAAAATATGTGCATGCCATCTATTAAAATCATTAAAAACCTTAATAATCGTATTAATTTTTATTTCTCATTTCTGTCATTAATTTTGTGTTTTCATTTGTAAAGCACATAATTAATGACAGAAACCTTTCTGCTGTAAAACCTCTCTTGGTTGCAAACATAAAAGGCGCAAGTAAAATTCTCCAAATGCATTGTAGCGAGATTCATAATGCATAATGCATGTTTACGAATAGTAAAATGTGTAGCATAAATGTGTACGTTATTCACACAACTTTGTGGTTAGTTGTTCGCTACGATAACTATACACATACACATAAAGGTAGATATTAGACATTTTTAAGTAACCATTGCATTAAGTAGATCCTGTCAAGTGTTGAGCGTTTGCAAGCCATCTCGGCAAATAACTTAGTTATCTCTTCATCTCGAGATTACTTGGTTAATTAGTTTCGCGATTATACGTTGGCTTATGAAAGAAACATTATTAAACTCACTACTTGTAACGATGTTGACAATATATTCCAGATATGTTTACTCTAGATATCTTTTTTCAGTTTGAATTAATTTCTTATATATATATATATATATATAATATATATATATATATATATATATACAGGGTGAGTTTTAATGCTTGTGTCAATCTTTTTATCATGCGGGAGATTATCGACTGCATAATAAATTGATCAGTACATAAATGTCAATTATTTGAATCGACCGTATCGAAGGCCCGAATATAATATGTATAATAGTAATAATAATAATAATAATAAATATGTAGCTTTAATAATAATAATAATAATATTAAATCCATACTACATAATTTCAGCTATTAATTTGCTTTAATTGTACACATTATATTCGGACCTTAGATACGATCGGTCCAAATAATTGACATTTATGTACCGATCAATTTATTATGCAGTAATCTCCTGCATGATAAAAAGATTGACACAAGCATTAAAACTCACCCTGTATATATATATATATATATATATAGACAATTTTATATTGTTAAACATTATATTGTGATTGTATTTAAAAAAAATTAATAATTTTCTTATTCATAAAAGTTGAGAGTAGTTAAAAACATTTTTATATAAGTTAAAAGTTAAGATAATTCAAAAATTTTTTTTACGTAAAAAAATAAAATAAAAAAAATTTCTTAAACAATATGAGCATTTTCCAACCTGTTACCGCGACTGATACTGTCGCGACATGCTCGCCACCATTAGCTATCCTCATCAAACAACTCCAAAGTCCATCATCGGAATGCATAGTTGCTGAAATGTTTGCGTCGCATTCGCCGAATGACAGCCCTTTGCCTTGATAATATAGAATAATCGACGACTTGACTTCCGTGACGGAATAAAAAATTCCATTCGGGCTTCGTAGCTAGCAATATTCCAGAGCAAAGTCAACAACACATTTTATCTAATAAAAAATATATTATATAACTTATATATTATATAACTTTTCTCTGGATACTCTGTGTATTTATTTATATTATAATCAAACTTTTATAATACAGAGATTATTATGAATATACGCTAGTAAAAGTAAATTTCATATATAAAGCAAAATCTCTATTTTCTCTAATTTTGCTTGCGATTATTAAACAAAACAATAGACTTTCTTGACTTCTGTATAAATTTTCTCTGGATACTCTGTATATCTATTTGTATTATAATCAAACTTTTATAATACAGAGATTAAAACAGATATTAAATAGATATCAAAATACAGAGATTATTATGAATATACGCTAGTATAAGTAAATTTCATATATAATGCAAAATCTTTATTTTTTCTAATTTTGCTTGTAATTATTAAACAAAACAATAGGCTTTCTTGACTTCTGTTGCACGCGTTCATTTCGTATTATTATATCGTATTTTGTCGTGAATTTACCGTAAACGGGTCGCCGCGCTTTACGTATACATTGTTCGTTCTGATTTTAACCACTTCATCTTTAGCGCTGTTGTTTCTGCATAAGTCGGGATAATCAACGCGAAGCATGGTTCCATACGAGGGTGAACTGTAGATTGTTCTAAGATCGCATCGCCAAGCGCCATAATCGATGTCCTCGAATTTCATGATTGTTAGTGCACATTTCAAAACGTTGTAAATGTGTTCAGTAAAAAAACGGACGTAGCCTGTTTTGCAATTATCCGTGTTTTATCATAATATCATGGAGCTTTTTAATCTATCTCATTTGACACACTTCCCCTTCTTTGAAATTAAATTTATATAAGCTTTATATACTATCAAAACAACCGAATGCATCATTGTGTTATTAATTATAATTAATACTGTGTGAATAACCTTTCAGTACTTGAAGACGTTATGTAGAGTATCGTTCCATCAGGTCTAATAAAGCTGCATGATTTCGGAGGTATGTTCTTTATCTCTAATTGACAGAATAATCTGGTACCATTCTTGGTACGAGTGACATTAGCATTCAAAATTATTGGCTCTAAAAGGATGACATTTATGTTAACAGAATTGAAATGATTACCTTGTTATTATTACCTTGGTTCTTTTCTCAACACGTACTTGAAAGTTTAACAATTTAAAGAAGCAAATATATATTAAATATATTAAAGGAGCAAACATCTATGTATATAAATTAATACGGTAAAATTTTTAATTACCTTTTTGACTTATTTAAATTCAATTTAAATTATTTTTAGTATTAAATAAACATTGTTATGTTTAATAATTAATTTTTCATTTTGTAAAAATATATATAGATTTTTCGAATTATACAAAGAAAATGTAAAATATAAAAATATTTATAAAAAATTTCAAAACATACATTAGTTTACGATTTAAAATCCGTTTATATCGAAAATAGAAATTCTATCATATTTATGGAGAAATCTTACCAAAGGTCTCTATTCTAAATTTTTGTTCGATAGACTCCAGCATTTCATCTGTATTGTAACGAGCGGAGCCATATACCTTCATGTTGAACGGTAGCGACTTTTACTTCATAATAACATTTATTAATTGATGTAACTACAGTTATACCATTCGGATCCACTATCTGACAAATCATCGCTTTAATTTCTGATAGACTGATTGCGCCTGGAGAGCCATGAGTCCATCATAAGACTAACTTAAAGGAAAAATCAGTTATCACAACAAGATTAAGCCATTTTGAACTTTGAAGATTTACTCCTACATAATAAAATAAAAGAGAAATGATAATTTTAATGATTCATGCTCTCATAAAATGCTGAGAGTCAAATGTTATGATTAAATTATCGATTTCGATTAAACTAACGATTTCCTAGCTTTACAGTCATGTATTATACAAATCATTCAAATATATGTTATCTGATACCTCAGCAAAATCAATAAGTTCTAAATATCTCTAATTCCCGATTGTGAGCTGGACTGCATATATATGGTAGTTACCGAAACTAAATAGATAACGCGGTAGTTTCGGCAAGCTAATTACTATTGAAGAGGTATTTGTCGATAATTTTGTATCGTCCATAATTCGTAATGAGATTAATTAATGCGTTTGCATGATAGTATGATTATATCATGCTGGCGTTATATCATGATGCACTATTAGATTTTACAATCTAGTATATAATTCTGCGTTTATCATTCTCTCTTTTTTGGCAAAATTGTACGTTTCATTGTTTTATTTAATACAGATAATTCCAATTTTGTTATCATTGGCGAACGTCATTTTTGTAAGAAAAAAATCATACAATATAATATAAAATATACATTCGTATGTAATTGTGAGTGTGTGCAGGAATAAATTTATATTGTTAGACATACAGTGTACCGGTCAAAAGTATTAACTTATAATAAAACTTATAGAAACAAAAGTTGTCTTTACTTTAATGAACAAAACATATATAAATATTATTAATTTATATTTTATTATTGTTATTTTCTGCTTTAATATCATAAAAATTACAAGTTATAATTAAACTCAAAAAGAGTCAACAAATGTTACATTTCAATAATAAAATTTAATTGATCTTTATTGATTATTATATATGTATAATGCCCGATTTCATCAACAGCGTTTAACTTTAATCTTAGTTTAACTCACTCTTTATCTCCTTTTAACTCTTCCTTTAGAAAGAGACAAAGAGTGAATTGAACTAAGATTAAAGTTAAACGCGGTTGGTGAAATCGGGCCTTAATGTGTATAAATAAAAGCTAATCTAATAAAAATTCAATTTAGTCTAAACAGCAAAGAATTTATAATTATGTGCATTTTCTATAAATATATCTTTAATTTCGTTCGTCTGAGTCTAATTATTAGCGTCTATTTATTAGCGAATCGTGATAGCAGATAAAGATCAGACAGATAAAGAGAAAGAGAGAGAGAGAGAGAGAGAGAGAGAGAGAGAGAGAGAGAGATCATAATAATTAAATATTCATACAATGTAAAAACGTAATAATCAACATGTTGACCATTACTATTGTACAA